GAATTTTATTGTTTGAGCATGGTGAGGTTACAGTGAGAGCAGGAGAAGAAACACACTTTACAGGCGAACGAGCAAAAAATCAGAGCATGGAGGAGGCGAGGGGGCAAGGCAAAACTGGCGCGTTAGGGTAGGACGGGGAGGAAGGAGAGTGGGAGAGGAGGAGGAGCCTGTCAGCTGGATGTTACACCTGCTGCTATGTCGATGTTCACTTCCTCTAACGCCTTCCCCTTCCCCTCAACAACCCAGAATGTCCTCATATCCTGCATGTCCTGTCAGTATCAGCCCTCCTCCTCCTCGTCCTCGTCCTCCTACCTCCTCCTCCTCCTCTACCACCTCCTCCTCCACCTCCTCCTCCCTCGCTCTCCCCTCCCCTCTGCCTCTCTCCCTTCCCTCCCTCCCTCCCTCCTATCGCGCTTCCCTCTCCCTCCCCCGCTCCCATCTGATCCCCTGCTCCTCCTTCTCCTTTTAGAACTCACCCCTTTGCCCTTGACTTCGATCACCCCCCTCTCCACCAGCTCCACCACCCCCCCGACGTCCTGAGCCCTCAGCAGCTCCGCAGCTGCTTCCGAGCACTGGATAGACCCTGGGCGAGAGCTGGACTCCATCCTGGAGGCTGTGTTCACCGTGTCTCCGAACAGACAGTAGCGCGGGTTCCTCGCTCCCACCACGCTGGCAACGACCGGGCCGGAGTGAAAGCCGACGCGGAGGTTGAGGAAGCCCCTGCTCGCGTCCTCCCGGTCGATGGGGATGCGGTGAGCGAGCTCGATGGCCTTGAGGGCGAAGGAGGCGATGCGGAGGGTGTGGTCCGAGCTCTGATCCTCCACGAGGTTCGTCACCGCCATGTACGCGTCCCCGATAGTTTCCACCTGTGCAAGGGGTGAGTGAGAGGAGAGAGGATAAAAACAGGAAGAAAGGAAAGAGAACAGGGAGGAGAAAAGAAAGAGGAGAGCAAGGAGGGATGCAGGCAGGTTGACCAGCAGTAGGACGAGGAGACAAGGTTGAGCAGGAAAAGGGGAAAGACTAGAAGGAAACGAGGACATGGACAAAAGGAGGAGGAGGAGGAGGAGGAGATGCATACCTTGAACACTCCACTCGCCTTTGAAAGCTCATCGAAGGACATGTAGAGGTTGTCCAACATCTCAGATACTTTCTGAGGGTCGAGGGAGGAGCTGATGGTGGTGAAGCCGACGATGTCAGAGAAGAAGATCGTCACGCTCTCCTTCCTCTCAGGCTCCACCCTCTTCCCGGCCTTCAGCGCGTCCGCCACGTGCCTGGGGAAGACCTCGTACAAGATCCTAGTCGCGTCCGCCTCCTCCGCTCCCGCCTTCTTGACAGGCAGCAGGAGGTCTGCGGCTTTGGAGTCCATGGCCTGCAGTCGTCGATCGATCTCGCTGATGGAGGGCCGGCTCTCGGGGAGCTTGTTCCAGCAGTTCCTCATCAGCACCGCCATCTGTGACGGGCAGTCGGCAGGTATCTCCGGCCTCTTCTCCTCCTCTCTCTCCAGATCCGCCACTTGCCGCAGCACCTGCCTGACGTCCTCGTTGAGGAACGGGTCCTGCCTGCTGTAAACCTCCGCCAGGAGGATGCCGAGCGCGTACACGTCGCTGGCGAGGGAGTTGCTGCCTCCTCGCAGCAGCTCCGGGGCCATCCACAAGGGTGTGCCGCATGGACCCGATTTCTTGGTGCTCAACCCGAAGTCCGCGATCTTGGCTCGGAAGCGAGAGTCGACCAGCACGTTGTGAGACTGAAGGAGGGAGAGCAAGATGTTACAGTCGGCAGCGAGGAGGGGAGAGAGACGGCGGAGAGGGCGGGAAGGAAGCAGGGATGATGGAGTAGGAGCAGCAGGAGGGGGAGGGGAAGCGCGGCAGAGAAGGACGAGGAGATAGAGTACCTTGATGTCCCCGTGTATGATGGGAGGGTTCGCAGCGTGGAGGAAGTGTATCCCTTGTGTCACGTCGCAGAGCATGGGGAGGATGAGGTCTCCCTGGAGCTCGACCGTCTCGTTCCTCAAGAGCTCGTACAGGGACCCGTTCTCCATGAGCTCCATCACCAGCAACGGCTCCTTCTTGTCCTTCACCGCTCCGATCACCGTCGTGATGCAAGGGTGTCGCAGGCGCGAGATGACCCTCATCTCTTTGATGAAGTTGTTGTACATCCTGCTGCGGGACGTCGTCCGGGTCGTGCCCGAGAACAAGAAAGAAAGGAACGACGTCGTACGACTGCCGCTCCCCTGATTCCTCCTCTCTCCCCCGAGCACGTCCAGGCTATCCGAGTTGCTACCACTGCGCATTTGGATGTTCTTGTCGCCCCGGATGCTCACCTCCACGTCACTGCCCCCGCTGCCGTTCCTTGCTGGGGCCTGCCTTCCCTGACTGTCATTGAGCCGACGGGGGCCTCTACCGCTGAAATCAACGTCAGGCACAGAGCTCGCGCTCGTCTCGCCGTTGGTCCCCTCTCGCTGATCAGAGCCCCGACCCAGCGAGCCGCTCTTCGTTCCCGAGTGGCTCCTCAGCACGCCGTTCTGCGTCGACCCGCTCCCTTGCACCCTGATCGCCTCCAACACCGCGGGGTCCTGCATGGAGAACATCCCGGTGGAGACCGAGGCTTTCTTGGCCGTCTGTGACGAAGGGAGCACTCGTTTCACCGCCACGTAAGAGCCGCGGAAAGAGGCTCGGATGACAACGCCGTAGCTCCCCTTGCCGAGCACAAGAGGAGGGCTGTCGAAGACGAGCTCGTCCTTCCTGATCGTCCAGAAGGCATCCGAGTGTGTCATCTTGTACGTCGCGAACGCAGACATGGCGATCAAGACTACCACTCCAGCGCACAGCACGCCGATCATCCATGGCTGCAAGACGCTGTCTTGCA